TGTTTGTTTTGCGAAATTTTATTCGTACACACACAGACAGAATATCAGGCGTCGCGAACGATTTATTAACCGAGTTATGCGGTCTATAATAGTATAGTGTACATGTGTGTATATAATCTAGAGGAATAGTGCCAGTCTTTAGTATTTTGAGAATTACGATAAAATAATATTATACACGCGTATACTCTCTCGCTCTATCTCTTCTCGTATACACTCGCACCCCGTATAGTCTACATACAATATCTCTCGAGCGCACGCGTTATTTATACCGTACTGTATAATGTATATACGCATTTGCGGTCGGATTATAAACTTTGACAATTTATTCGTCTGTGTGCGTTTACAAGAAAAACAAAGCCGAAAATCGTTATACGTTTATAATTTTATACGGCGACGGATCCGACAAACAACAGCTGACGACAACGCGTTCTCCGCGACGTCTCCGCCAAGCCTATATAAAAAAAGAAAAATTTAAAAAATCCGCTTTTTGCGAATCATTACGACGCCCCTGTTGTAAAATATCCTTGTCGCGGCATAAACCTAAGTATAGCCTAACCAAACTATTTGTGCCGTCCGACGAAACCTGATAAACGGCAAAAGATGCATTATCGATTTTATGATGTATTTTGATACGAAATGGATTGTAAAACTACCTATACAAGATATAAGATACACGGTACAAGTGTCAAATATACAACACAAAACACTTTCGATTTTTTTTTTGTTCGCATAATTAAATATCAGTTTGGTTAATTAAAGCAACCTCTTGTTTTTATACGATTAAAAGTAGTTCGATACAAAATAAAAATATACCCATTATTAATTTAATACAAACAACGAAGGAAATACCTGGTGTTAAACATAATTAATCAATAAAAATACAATTTAATTATTATTTATAGCGGTAAATTATTCTCGTTTATTCTTTGGAAAAAAATAATAGCAAACTAATCTTTCAAATGTTTTGTCTGATTAATTGGATCTGCCCGGTGAATATACGAACCTAGTAAATGAAAATAAACGCTCAACGGGAGATAGTTTACCGGCTTATATCTACTCTTATATATATTTTGTACAACACAACGTACTAATAAGTGTGTACAATTGAAAATTTCTATTTAACATTATTAATACTACTAATTGTTTACAATTAGTACAATTGATTATTTGTGAAATAAACCTTTTGGAGTTTTCATTAATTAATTACTTTGAACAAAAATAAATAAATTACGCATTACTATATGGTCATAATTCTATTTATTGTATAACAATAACATTTTCAGTTGGTAAAAAGTATTGTACAATGTATACATTTTTTATTATCATGATTTATGCATATTTTGAGCAGAATTTAAAATTCGATTTATTAGTGCAATATAAGAGTTGTGCGAATTTTGGAGGAAGATCGTAAAAATAAGTTACGATTACATTTATGAGTAAAAAAAAAAAAAAAAAAATGTTAATTGTAAAACTAGTATGTTATACGTTAAATGTAGTTTTTTTCAAATTTCGGGGAATTTCTATCCATATCCACCCATTTTTACTGTATAAGCGCCTGATAAGGACACCAATATTAACTACTGTGAAAAAATAATACTAACTAAAAAGTAATACACACCAAAGAAATATTTCTATACCTGTCTTGAGTATCGGATTATATTCATACTTACTGTTGATACTGTAGTCGTCGTCAAACGTAGAGCTGCAGTTCGTTGGGAACCAAGATGACGTGCGAACGATTCGAAACAGAGCTGGCTATCCTATAAACGGAGATGATCACCATCCTGTGTTGAACATTAATGCGCGTATTATCCCTGTAGAACGTTTGTCGCGATAAACGACCTCGTGTGTAGATGAGCATGGTTTCTAGGTCGGAGATGAAAAAAAAAAAGGTTTCGTAAAAAACCGTTAATATTATAATAGCACTATTGATTTTTAAGTTCTAGGCCGGACGAAGAATGTATATTTATTTATATTGTAGTGCTAATTTCTCTGATCTATGTTTTTATAACCCTGTGGAAAACACCTTTCAAAACGTTTATAAGTTACTTTAAAAATATGAATTTTTCATCTCCTAGATTTTTTATTTGAATCATTAATTTTTAAAAAATTGAAAAAACCTGATAACAAAATTATCGCAGTTAATTCTTTGATATTGCAGATAAGAGGACTTAAAATAGGAAGTGTGGTCAGATTTTGATGGTTAGTTTTTGTTGGAAAGAGGAAGACTTCCTACAGATCACGTTGAACTCAGTTTTTCAATGTTTGCATTCGTTTGCATTTTAAAGTCAATTTCAAGCATTTTTATTTCGTTGTTTTTAGCGTTATTTGAAATTAAATGATGTGTGGTTTGTAGAAATTTGTTATTTATTAATAAAAATAATAAGAACATATTGATTTAACTATGAGTTATCCTTTTTCAGCGAATTAATTTACGCCCGTAAATACAGTTGAATGAGATCTCCCTAAATGAGTAGGTATCTCGCAGAAGTTTTTTTATTTAAGGTGGTCATTTAATTATTAAAAATAATTACTAAATTTCAAAAAATCGGAGAAAATGTGTAAAACCAAACGCCGGGCCCCTAAAATCAACCAAATAATTTGTTTCTCTTTATTTTTCGTTCTACATGTTATAATACTTTATGTACATTCATACCTGCAGTCATTATGATGTATTTTTTTTTTTTTGGAAAAAAAGACATGGCGTACAATAAGATACAACCTGAGCTATTGAGAAAGTCCGCCATTAGGTTAGACGATTTAGTCGTTTATAGTCATTTAGAAAATAATCGTATTATTTAGTGATGATCAAAACTTGATTGGCTCGTATTGAAAATTGTGTAACATTATTGACTTCTTCCCTGGAACCAAAGAATATTGTACTATTATAGGTCAGCATATCCAGTCGAAGTATATCTAAACGCTCGCCTAAATTAGCTAGGCTCCGGGTGTGCATTTTTCCATAAAATGTGTACGCTTTAGAAGGGATTGACTTCGTCTTGAGCCCGTCAGTTTTGTGAACACCTTGACCTAATATTCGATTAGTATGACGACGGTACGTAATATTATTAGGGTGATCCGAACCGGTCGGTACCGAGACGGTCGATACCCGGGGACTCGCAATGGGTCCTCGTTTAAGTACTCGTGGCTGAGTGGCGTATAAACGACTAGTGAGTCGTATTCAAACGCATTATGTTATGTTGTTTTAACGGGACCGAGGCGAATATATTATATCGTCATATAATATAAAGACCGTTTGATGTGCGTGCGTAATAATTAATATATATACAAATATAATATGTTATAATAATATTCATTATACGACGATAAATTTCGTGTATATCAAACGATATACGATGGCTGTAAGCAGTGCGAAAAACCAGCAGCTGACAGCCATCCGTGATCGTTTCTTTTTGATCCGAAGGCGGCGACGGCGGCGGCAGCGGCGACGTTTTAAATTTACACAGCGACAGGACACACACATCTGGCAATCCGTGCGGACCATCGGAAACGACGACGGATTTATTTCCATTCAGTTTTGATAATATTTTCGACCGGACGTGTACGCGTGCGACCCGAAATAGACGTCCGGAACCCCTTAATTATTAGGTGTACCGTAATTATTGTTGAGCATAGGACGGTATATAGGTGACGATTTTGCACGAACATTTACGTAACATTTTACGTGAATCGTGAAAATCGCGGCGTATTTCCTAATCATACGCGTTTAAAACCGCATTTAGCTCAGTATAGTTTTCCGTTGGCAATTATTTACCGTCGCATGTACGTATATATAATATCTTATATCAGCTGAACTTTCCGTCTACAACAGTGGCGCATCCATTTTTCTTTTGGGTGGCCTTTTTCTTAGATTGAAACTCGTTTCAAGATTTTTATAATTATTAATATAGTATTTTTCTGTAGTTGTGACAGTGTATATTTACCTTTTTTTTTTTTTTTTTTAACGTTTCCTTGTATATTTTAAACCCTATCATTCAACAAAGCCGTTTACGTGATTTTTTAATTTTTTACCCAATTGATAAAATTTTGTTTAAATTTCAATTTCAATTTGATCATGTTTTTGCGGGAGGGTAGTGTATTTTTAGATTTGTACAACCCCCCTCCCACAGATAATCTAAACGAATTCAGGAGAATGTTGTATGATGTGCATGTTTAAGTATCAAGGATATATACTTTGGCAGTTTAAATTTTCAACCCTTCTCCTCCAACCATTTGTATTCTTTAACTTCTTGTTTTTACAGAAAATATCGGGGTTTTAAATACCATACCCCTGCAGAGTCATCAAAGTAAATAATTGGGTTAAAATTTGTTTATATAAATAAACCTGAGGGTGTATCTTTAGAAGGTGTGAACATCCTATGCCTGTCTCCCTGTCATCTGTTTACATATTAGCAGGTTATAAATTCCTTTACAAACTAAAATGTAATGAAACTCTGGTAATCAGAGGTATTTTTGACCAATATTTTAACAGTGACAATCCGACCAGGAGAAAACTTGACTCTAGCTCGTAGATGTTTTTCTAACTTTTAAATTGGTATTTTTTCGTCATTCCCATCATATTGTTTTAGACTTCAACGTACTAGAAAGTTTAATACATTTTGTTTTGTATTCAATATTGACATGTCAGCGTAATTGTGCATCGGATAGGATTTATCTCCTAATGTATTGATATTTATTGATTTACGTTACAGATTATAGACCTATACTGTAAGTATACGATCTTAAAGTATAATATTATATTCTATCGTTTCACGTCAAAGTTATTGTAACTATTATAAGTATATTTTTTTTTAATTAGAATTTTTAGTTTAAAAAAAAAAACGGTTTTTAGACCCACGACATATCCGAATACATAGTATAATATAATAAATATAAAATGGAATATAGGTACACACAAACAGCTCTCTCATAAAAAACACAATTCCGACTGTTACTATGTATATATATATATATTTTTTTTAAATTTCATAATAACATACCTATATTATAATATATACAATATATATACATGTAAATACAATATCTGTATTATTTTTATATTCACAGAAGATTTGAAACGTTATTTTTTTTTATTTTTTTTTTTTTAAAGCTTCGCGCGCGCGTTTACAGATTTTACCGATTTCGGTACCTACTATCTATATTCACACTGTTGCGCTTAAAAATGGTATGCAAATACAAAATCAGATTAATAATTAAAAACTATAATATTATACAGTATACAAATAATATTGATGTAAAACACGGTTAAGGTATATAGAAAGTGCTTAACGTGTGTGTTTAATACGTATACGCCGCGCAACGATTGTTATATTATTTTTTACAATTTATCTACATAAAAAATGTACAGTGTTAAAAGAAATATAATTATTTTTTACAATATATTACTTTTACGGATTTTATATAAATGCTCGTAATATATTCATATAAAAAGTTTGATCGGAAAAGTGTGAAATAAAGGTAAAAAAAAACGGCTTTCAAAAGTTTTAAATCTCACTGGGGTGTTATTGTTTTGTTTATTGTCAGTCGGCGATGGATAGGGGGTGGGAAGTAACCAATAATAATAACAATTTTTAAAGAGTTGAAAAAAAAACTGTGGGAATATTGCCTACATAACGCCGAACAGTCGGAAGGAATAAATAATAAAACGTAGTTATATTTACAAAAACAGATTGAGATATTTTGATTTTTCGAGGGATAAAATACACGTGACTGTTTTGAATTTTCGAATGTAGCCGCCGATGGCTTTAACCAAAAAAAAAAAAATAATAATAATAATAAAAAAGAAGCTTCGGTTGAGTGAAAATTAAATTCTGAAAACAGATTAGAATTCAGCATATCAGCTTTTTTGAATTTCAGTACTTAATTTTCGAAAGTTAGATTGAAATTTGATCTGAAATTAAATTGAAAAAAAAATAAATAATAATTGTCCGACATACACTTCACGACGAATTTAAATTTTCGTTTAGTATTCTTATCGCTCTGTTACATCAATTTCGGTCTCTGATTGAAAGAAAATTGGTAAAAATTTGATACACTGCGTTTATGTTTAGATGAAATACGAAAATATTTGTATCCAATTCCCAAAAGGGGACGCCACACTCGCACAGAACATAAATTGTCTCGTGTATGTGGAAACTGGAGTTTAAAGACAAACGATATAATTTAACTTTTTTATGTACACACCGTCATACTAAAAAGTTTTAGAGCCACGTAAGGTTTTGCTTTTTTTTTTTCAATCTGCAATTATATACATACGTATAAAGCCCTTGAGAATATTCCCCTCTTAAAATTTTGTTATTTGGTGATGTTCAAACTTACATTCCAACCTAAACGCTACAGTTGACGTTACAAGTAGGTATATCGTTATTTTTTGGACGTGACGTCCTCTTATAACGTAAAATCGACATTTACATTAAAAATTTTAAAAAAAAACCCTCATCCGCATAAAAATTCCCCGTAACAGGTACACGAGTATTCGTGTTCTGGAAATTTATAATATATTGACAATTGAATGCCAATAGACGGTAGTTAAAACGGCATCGTTTCCATTTATGATAGGTGCAGACCCATATGGGAAATATACAAAGGTTTTAAATCGCATTGTAGAATTCAATTTTGTACATGATATTACAACGGCGTGACTTATGTACATTTATACGTGCGAAAAAACAATAGATTTTTGTCCAAGAAAGGCTAAAGTAAATTCCGTATAGTATTGAACACGGGAAAAGCAAATGTTAAAAATCGCTAAATTACATAATTATTGTTGAATGACTAAATTGTTAAACAGCCCGAGCCACACGGTTATAATATAATGACTTACGCCAAAATAAAACAAAGCGACAGGGAGATTTTTTTTGATTTTCAGGATAACACGTGTTTAGATTATATACATTATATTATACCGATCTTATACGAAAATATAAAAAAATAAAAAAAAAAAAAACATCAAAAATTGACTTCTTCCCCGGGACGACCGAACAATATATTATTTATAGGCGTTGAACACAGCGCAAAAAAAAAACACACACGAGCTATATTAATATAACCGTCGGAGCGAGAACAAAAACAATAGGTTATATCAGTAATATAAATAATAATAATAATAATAATAATAATAGTAATAATGATAATTATTTTTAAAAAAAATGTACACGAGGACGTCTCGAGGACGACGGATAATAAATATTGTTAATTTTATATTATTTACGTATTAACTGCGCGCTCGCGTCACCTGATGATAAGCCTGCTAGTCGACGGCGGCGGCGGCGGACGGCGTTTTCCGAGTGACAGTCGCGCGCCCATGTGTTTCGTGTCTTTTTGGTGAATTTTTTTTTTTTTTTTTATTCTCCTTGTCTTCCTGCTACCGGCGATCGTGTCCCCGACACGAATACACACAGTGTCTTTCGGGCTTCTCACGTCGGACGATGAGTACAATTTGTTCGTCTGACAGCTCCTTCCCCGTCGTCGCAGTAGCAGTCACAGTCGTTGTCGTTCGTCTCGGTCGTCTTCGTCCTGTGTATTATATTTATAATATAATTTATATGTATATATATAATGTACGTTCTGTTTACAAGAGCTGCACAAAATACACGAAATGTGAAACATACAACACATGTCTATCTAATATACATCGGTATAATAATATTATGTACAATCACCGTCTGATACTCATGTGATACCTATAACATAACAACAGCGGTTCTCAACTTTTGTGTATTGGCGGCCAAAGATATTCATCCGATTTATCATCATGCGACCTAATTGAAAATATGTGATTTTCAACGACCATATTATATCACTAAGAGAAACTATTATCATTCATTAAAAGATTAAACGAGGAATTGGCGAGTGTTAAGAATATTGATACCAAAACAAATGCGGGTCAGCAACCTATTAAGTTTAATTGTTTTCGTGAATGTCAACCGATCAAGTATAATTATATAATGTTGAAAGGCCAACGTTCAAAATTACGAATTAAATACTTGTTATTTGTCGAGAAAAATAATTTACGAAAAATGCTTCATTAATTATTTTAAAAACTATTTCGTACAGTTAGTCTTTAATAAAAATATTATATTAACTACGTTTTAATTTCTTAGCCACCAACTCGCAATTATCCGTGACCCGAAATTGGGTCACGACCCTATGGTTGAGAAACGCTGCTATACGATTTTTGGTCCTTGGGAAGAAGGGCTCAACTTGAAGTTGATTTAGTATGATTTCAACAAGATCAAATTGTGTTTTGAGAAGATTGTTAAACGGCTTAATAGTTGCAATGTACAATAAATATACGGTAAAAACACGTTCAAGAAAAGTACATCGTCTTATGTAGCGACATCAAGGTATTTTAACTTTCAGTACATAGCGCGTTTGATAATATATGTGTACACTCTTATGCCGTTCAGACTAAACAATAAAGAGGAAAAATTTGATAAGAAAAACTGATTCTTCCTTCTCCCTGAGGGGGACCAAAGATGTATATTATTATTATTCCGCTTCTGCACTGTCTTTTATTTCTATAATATTAGGGATGGACCAATCGATACTTTCGACATTATAGAAAATCGTAATCTAGTTAATTTTCTATACAGACTTCAATATTTTTGTATGTTAACATGATAAATGATAAAACGCGGTAACCTCGTCGTGATTAAATAGATAAGATGTTAAATAAATTAGTTTTGGATTCTGAGCGAAGTATGAAATATAATATTGGTTTTACTATGTATATATGGTATACATATTAAATATCTGTTGTGTTTTTTTTATCTGTATGTCTGTAAACAACTTTTCTACCGGAAATCTTGATCCAATCGAAAACTTTATGGGAATTTTTATGTAGCATTTTTGATTCATGTTGATGTATGAAGAAAATATTTTTTGATTCTCCTTGTAGTTTTCGTAATAAATAGATAAAATTGGAAATTATTTGTAAAATTTGTATTGATTTTCTGCAGGTTACCTTGGCAACAAGGAAAAAAACAACTAATGTTAAAACCTGTTCAAAATCGCTTTGCATTAGCAACTATATATATTTTTCCATTTTAAGTTCTTTAATAAAACAGTGATACTACTCCCAGTCTTTTTTTTATACTTTATGTAATGCGTTTTTATATCTAAATTATAAAAATAAATTATATTAATTTTATTTATGATTAATATAATTCATAAAGAGTCACAGTAAACGTTTGATGTTTCTGTCTGGCTATTGGGCAATAAAATGAAAATATATTTTGTTTTCGGATTTCCGACAGTATTCAGAATCTAATAGATCCAAATCGGAAATTATTTCACCAAACAAAAGACAAAAAACTCGAACTCAAAAATTAAAAAAATATGTATATTTTATTTTAATAGAAAATTATGCAATGAATATATCAAAAAATTTGTTCGTAAAAGTATATTGTAAATGTTTTTTCATCAATTTAGTGAAATAGTTTTTGTTTCCGGTCTGTTGGATCCCGAGTACCATTAGAAGAACGAAAACACATTTTTGCTACATTGCCCGTTAGATATAAAAAAAAAAACAGCAAAATATGTTGCCATAACTTTTTATATTTATATTTTTAATTTATTTTGAAACAACGATATCAAAAATCGAGTATTGGTATCGACATCGAATTTATGGTATCGCTCGACGCTATGGTTCCAGTAACTTGTAACATGACGTTTAGAAGTGTCGTCTATGTTGACGAACATTCGATTGGATCACGAGAAGTGTATATAGTAGGTATGCGAGTGGACTCGGGATGTACAATCAATGAGGAGACTTGTTTTTTTTTTTTAATCGCCAAAACGTAAAATAAGTTTTCTTTTTTATTTTACGTATTTAGAACAAGTAATATATTATTGTGACGTATATTAATTTTACAAATCCATGAAATGTACCCACGGAAATATTTGTCACGATTGCAAATAGTTTTTCCGAAAAATAAAAAACAAAACTACTTTACAACAAACGATGATTATTATTATATATCATGTATATAAATTTTGGTCAAAATCTATAATAGAAGATACGAAATTTTGAATGGAATATTATGCGGTCAGTTGATAACAGTACGAAAACATTTTGAAGATAGATTTTCATACATGGGCCGTATATGTGATCCCAATTTCAGACTTTATTTTTTTCGATTTCTGTGGGGGGGTAAAACTATTGTGATCATAAGTCCACTCGGAATAATTGTTTTTAGATTCGCAATGATTTATTTTTACTTGTAGCATTATTTGATTTACAAACTCACGAACTGCAGGGAATTCAGTAACTGTTAATGTGTTTATATACTATAGTGTAGACAGAGTGCCGTTTATGATATATTTGTAGTTAGCGCTGCGGTTGTACTCATCATTAACGTACAGAAGTCGCAAATTGAATAAAAATACCGTTACAGCGGACATTATCGCAGCTGCATAGATTATATTATAAAGCTAGGCATTATCTCGACAATGTTGCGATAATATAGTGTTGCTAGGTGAAATAAAAACTATTTGATTGTACATGTAATTGTATTAGTCGTTCGAAAAGTCATTTACGTGAATGAACTATTATTATTATTATTTTTTTTTTTTTTATCAAACAATCGAAGGGAAAAAATTACGATAAAACCGCTATAATGCAATTATTGTTAATCGTATTAATCTAAATACCAGCTTTTTATTCATTACTGATTCACGAGTTTACAATTACCGGTACAATATACGCGAGTTGTATATTGTGTATTGACGCGTTCATCAATGAGATGACTCAGAGAATAAAACAAATGAAGTCCGTACAGTTGTGTTACTGTATATAAAAAAAAAAAATTATTATTTTATCCCACGTTTAAATAATTTCTATTATTGTATAATATTATATATTTAAGGATTGCCGATTAAATTTGAACGAGTCTACCTGGGGCGTTTATTAATATATACGTACCTACGAATTTCGAAATATTTTCATTGAAATAATATATTACGTATAACTCAGTTGGATACAGTTTTGTCGAAAATAGACAAATCTCACAACTGTAATGTAATATAACTAGGTCATTATATTATGAGTGCACAAACATAACAATGATCATAACAATACGAATGTATAACAATAAATAAGTATACAATAAAAATATACATAAATAAGTATATAATGTTGATACCGGATTTAAACGCACTTTTTTGCGGTGTGCTCAATGGTGGACAATGCATTCCGCGTACAGGTATGCATAATGCACAATATTTCGAAAATGAAATGAAAATTAATGTTTTCCCGTTTTCGCCGTTTTTTAAAAAGTCACGAGATTTTTTTGGTCGTTTTTCAAGAGCATTCAAATCCGATTCATAATCATTATAACGAAGTAAATTTAGTGTGTATACAATACTCACGTTACAGTTGTGACGAAAACTTGATCGACGAATTGCCGTCGTGCGGTTGCTGTTGCTGTTGCTGCTGCTGGTAGTAGTTGTGCAGTTGCGTGTGACTACCGAGACCGGCGTGCTGAGAGTTACGAAAACCGCAACTGGCCGCGGTGGCCGCGGCCACGGCCGGATTGGGAACGACAGCGTCGAAAAAGTCCGACGGGTCGGCGCTGTACCAGCCGGGTGGCCGGTGGTGTCCGGCCGCGGCGGCGGCCGCTGCTGCCACATACTGGTGGTGGTGCGAGGCGAACTCGTCGCTTTGGTGGTGGTGATGGTCACCGGTGGCCGCAGCGGCCGCGGCCGCCGCCGCCACGGCCGTAGTGGTCATGTACCTGTGATGGTGATGGTGCAGGTGGTGTCCGTTGTTGCCGCCGGCGGCGGTGGTGACGGCCGACGGTGAATCGTCCTGGTGGTCGCTGTCGTTGTATTGGAGGTGATGGTGGTGTTGATGGTACGCCGGCGGTGGAGGCGGCGGGCCACTCGACGTGGACGTCGGCGGTGCGGCCGTGTCCCCTGCACTGGCCGACTGATGCGACGACGGTGCCGGTACGCCCGGTTCCTTTTTCAGCTGTTTGCCGCAGTCGATTTGCATACTGAGCTCCTTGCTCGCAGCAGCGCCGTGTAACAGCAACTTGCACTGTTCCTCGGTGACCTTCTTCAACATTAGCTCCTGTTGCCGCTTGATCGCCTCTTCCTTCTCCTTGAGCGCGTCTTTCTTCTTGAACCGTCTCCGGCGTCGCAAGTACGACCCGTTGTCGAACATGTTGTACGAATCCGGGTCCAGCGTCCAGTAACTGCCCTTGCCCGGTTTCTTGTCGTCGCGCGGCTGCTTGACGAAACACTCGTTCAGGCTCAGGTTGTGTCGGATCGAGTTCTGCCAGCCCTGTTTGTTCTCCCGGTAGTACGGGAATCGCTCCATGATGAACTGGTAAATACCGTTCAGCGTGCACCGTTTGTCCGGCGCGTTTTGGATGGCCATCGCTATCAGAGCGATGTACGAGTACGGCGGCTTGACCATGTCCTTGGCCGCGGCCGCGGCCGCCGACACGGCGTGATGATGGTGATGGTGGTGCGACGCCTGGTAACCGGCCGCCGGATTGTACCCGTACCGAGCGTACTGTTCGTAAGCGCCCGGATACGCCGCGGCCGGGTTGGACGTGCCCGGGTACATGCCGGTCCGGTAGTACGCGTTTTGGTCGCCGAACAGCGTGTGCATGACAAGGACAGCGATAAAACGGGAGGGCGCGAACAAGAAAAAAAAAAACAATCTATTATTATTTTTTATTTTATTTTACCGAAAAAATGCCGATGTTTTTATAATAATTCGAGCGAGTCGTCGATGGAACGACAACGGCGGCGCGGGGCCCGTATATAGGACGAGAAAACGGCCTTTCCGCACGGAGGAATGTTTGCAATGAAAACAACGCGGCGCGCCGACAACAACAAACCCGCGCGCGGACGTTCCGCAAGAAAAACAACCCGAAAAAATATTACCGTCTCCGCTCGTACGGTCGTCGCGCAATCGTCGCAGTCGCAATCGTCGCAGCCGTACTCGTCATCACCGCGCCCGCCGCACGAGTGCGCGTACACCGGACACACCGCCGCCGCCGCGAAACCGCTCGCACCTCCGTGGGTGTGCACGGGTGGGTGGGGGCGGTGGTGCGGTCCGCCACCCCCGGACGCCGGGCTCGCGACGTCGTTGGCCGGTCCGCGGCACGCCCACCGACGGCCGAACCGGACGGGGAGGGTCGGCGGCGGGCGGGTACTCCGCGGCCCGCGCGTCGCTTTCATACGCGGCCCGGGGCGCAGCGCAGCGTCCTCCCCCCTCCTCACTCCCCTCCAGCCCCGCCGCCGCCGCCGCCGCCGCACGAGGATTTACGCGAGCGCGCGCGCCGCCGCGAAAGCGGTCCCCTACCGCGGCCGATCCGGTCGCGTACGCCGTCTTCGCGGGCGACCGCGGGCTCTGTAGATTGCCGTACGCGCGCGTTATTGTAATTCCCTCCACCCCCGTCGCACGAGCGTGTGTCATAATGTTATGCGGCGCGCGTATAATATTATAATGCGCATTTGATAACGTTTTACGGGCGACGGCAATAATAATAACACGTCGGTTCGGCGAACAAACGCCCGCGGGACGGAAAAATCGCGACGCCGGCCGCGCCGTCTCCGCGGGCCCGGTCCGCGCGCCGGGCGGCGGTGTGGGTCAGAGTCACTCGGCGACGCGCGCGGCGACGACCGCGAGTCACCGTTTTGACACGGGCGCGCGACGCACACCGGGCCATAAAACAATAACTGTCGCGGTCTCGTTGACGCGCGAGCCGCCGCGTTTGACGCCGCCGTTGGGTTCCGGTACGTGTGTGACGCGCAAAACAACACGCGAACGCGTAGCACAACCCCGCCCGGGGACCACGGCCCGCGACTACCCGAAATTCGGCGCCATCGGAACCGCGACGTTCGACTCGACCGCGCGACGGGCAGGCCGCCCACGAACGTGTTATCCCGATTAAATCCCGCGTCACAGAATCGCGTCGGTGTAACATTTTTTTTTTTTTTTTTTTTCTGTTTGTCGGTCGCATTTCCAATACGGGCGTCGTGCTACGTTCTGTCGGACGACAAACCCGAAATTCGAAACTGCCACAATTACGTTCGTGGCGGTTTACGGTTTTATTTTTTCGCGACCACCGACCTCAAAAGTAGTATTTAACATTGCCGTATTGGACCTACAGGTTTTACGGCCGATTCGGTTGTTTTATACTCAACGCATACTGCGTCAAAATGCGGCGGCAATGAAATACAATTAAAAACCGCTATAAATCTAAACTCTATTAATAACAAGAACAAAATAATATCGTATTCTACACTACTTCAAAGCGCAGGTTGCAATGTTAAATAAAACGTTCAAATTGCAATTTTCGCATGCATAGTGTATTTAAAGTAAAGTAAAAACACCGATCAGGAATCTTAGCATAAAAATATACGTTTGTGACCGACCGCGACTGTTCAATTTTGTATCTTAACGTTTATGATATTTCGGAATTCGAATTCAACGTGACAGATTTGTTTGAGAATATTTTTGATGATGACTAATGACTGTTGCCGGTTTAGAACTTGGTAATGTCGAAAAAAAATATTACTATTTTCCTCTATAATTATATTATAATATGTCTAATAATGCAAAACGCTTTCAATGATATTACATTTTAAAATCAGCGTTTCAATATTTTTTTTTTTTTTTTAATATTTTCATTCATCAATATAATATATTTATTTTGAATCAAGTTAAATACACGCACGCCGTCGATAAACAAAATAATAATTTGATCGAGTCCCCTCGCGATCCCGCCCTATACATTATATAGTCGACAACTCGTACACTTTAAATACGCAGGGAAAATATTTACAATGTACATTAGCGAGTTGTGTAGCAAATGCACACGACCAAGAACAAGCCGTTAAAATTGTACTTATAGAAATTATACAGCCGAATACAGGCGCGTATACAAAGGGCCGGGAAGCTAAGGGGTTTCAACCCGAATCACCAGCTCCCGGAAACTCGAAGAACGCATTGAAAGGCTATGGTACAATAATATCTTACGTTATTTCTAACGTCTTTTCGTTCAAAATTTCTAATTTCATTTTAATGGCGGGTAATAGCAACATATCGATGTCCAATATCGGTCGATTTTTGTCTTTTCGAGTCTGATTTAAATGAAAAAAGGCCCGGTATACACTATACTTACCTCGGAGCATTTTTTAAACAATTAAACAAAAAAAAAAAAAAAGATCGGTAAAAATTAAAATCAAGCAACGATAAAGAGCTGTATATTTTTTCTCTCGTTCACATTCCTGCACACTCAAGTTTTCATACGCATTCAAGTACAGAAGGCGATATACGCGGCATATGATTTAAGAAATACGTTTTGCATTCTGTTCCGTAATAATGGGGCGCTTATAATACTTGGTTGGTCGTACCTAGCGGCGTATCCGGAAATTGCTTAAAGAGGAGGCACATTGTTTCATATTTCAGTAAATTAACTATAAATTAACATAAAATATATAAACAAAAACTGTAGTCCATCGATAGGAGGGCACGTGTCCCTGTACTCCCCTGGATCCGCAACTGGTCGTGCTAGACATTCCAAAGAATGAATTTGTATTTTTTTCGGAAAGGGAGCCCTGCTTTCAGCCGCCGCACGCACGCAAGTAAATCAGAGCCCGCGTCTGTGCCGGAACCGTTATTTTAATATGTACGGTGGAAAGATTTAAAAAATTCGATTCGCGTTTATATTATGTTATTATGTGATCGTCGAGTGTTTGCACGGGTGTCGAAATAACGAATTTTAATGAAAAACGATCGTTTATACGCCGCCGTGACTTTAGCCAGCCCCGATTAGCCCGTCGAAAGTCCGCGGGTAAAATAAATACGAAAAAAATATTTAACGCGAATATCAAACAATCGATTTGACTTTTAAGTGCGTCATCGGCCGAACTGCTCTTGGTATTATTTGATTAACGCCGCGGTGGTTACATATTAAATTATATCAAGTGGCTTAGCGGTTCATTGCGGTATGTTAAACGGTATAGCTGGTATACCCGTGCACGTTTTGTTTGGAATAGGTATTATACATTATAACGCGTCGAGTTGAAAACGTCGAAAAATTGTATAATTCCGTAAAAAACACACACACACAAAAACCAAAAATCCTCTGTAAACAATTATACAATAAACTTGTTTTACGGTTCGATTAAAATGCGCACTGATACGCGCGTATTATATTATTATAACAATATTCCCATACGACCTGTACAATTTATTATAATTTCACTGGCGGTTTTATACGGCCGCAATAGATTTTTAATGGAACGCGAAACTCTGCATAATATATGATAATAAAATACAAGGATAAAGGCAATACTGGCATAATAGTGTACCGATTTTGTTAAACTATAATTTAAGTCGAGTAGCCTAAATAAAAGCAAAAAAAAAACTGCCCTAGGATAATGGGGACGAGTGCAGTCACTGTTTTGTTATATTGTGGTAAAATAATTCAATAATTTAATAATTTATTTTTTTAATAATATTTGTTTAATATACTGATTAAGACCGTTTTCCCATAAGTTTTTCACATTTGCTGGGAAAACTCGGAAAAATCGAAAAATAACCTTCTTAAAGTACCTTCCCAGTCAGATTTGCTTTTAGAAAAAGTGCTATCATTGTAAATCGGAGCAAAATGTCTGGCAGAAAAGTCGCCCACAGAAAAAAAAAAAAAATGGTAATTTCGATTCACATCACATTCGATGAGAAAATTGCGAAAATCGAAAAATGACCTTATCAAAGTGTCACCCCGAGAAAATTTCATTTCAGTAAGGAGTCTAAATCGTATACATCGGAGTAAGTTTTCCGGTAGAAAAAGCGTTCAAGTAGAAAAATTGTTCACGGGCGGAAAAAAAAAAAAACGAACGTAACAATTATCACTGTAAAACTCGGTCCGCTCAGAATCCGAAATGTCGTTCCAACGATGCGAAAAATGCGCTTCGACCGGTGCAAAGTTATTGGCTCGGGACAATTTCCATACACCCGACCACAGGGCAACACCAATAATAATTGTTCTCGGTCTTTTCGGCAATAATAATTTTTAACTCCTCCGACCCGGGTCGTTATTTTCCCGGACGCTTGCGATTCTCGCGCGAACTGTTTCACGGAAATTCCCGCGTGCCGATATTTTAAAAATTGACCCCGACCCGGCGTCGCTGACTCGTTCGTATCGTTTGACGACAGTTTCGGCGCGGTTAACTGGCGACTCCGTGACGATCGCGGGCCGCGGTAATAAAAATATGTTCGAACGGGGCGTTTCGGTTTGTCGCCGGGGACATCCGCGCGCGGCGGAAAAAATATCACGCCGACATTGACAATGACGTAATAATATGTAACGACGTGATAATATTACGGGCGCCCGTTTACCGGCGAGTTGCGTTATTACGTTATTACGGCCGATAACTTATCGCCCAGCTTGGTTCCCCGCGGGAAATCCGCGGCCATTACGCGCGTAACAACAACAACCGCGACGGCGACGGCGAACAGCAACAACAACAACAACAACAACCGCAACAGCAGCAATAATAACAACAACAACAACAACAACAACAATAATAATAATAACAATAACAATAATAATAACAACAGCAACAGCAACGATAACACAATAGGAGGTATGA